GAACTTGTTTCTCTCAAGTCTGAATATTACAGCAAAAATTGTTAATTGTTAAATTGTAATTGTTAATTGTAATTGATCAATGTTTTGTTATGGTAAATTGCATGTATTATTAAAGGTAATCCTTTCAAGAATACATTCCCTGTTTACTCTTGACAGAGGATGGAAAAATCAAGAAGAATACATGACCATTAAACTGACTGCTAACTTACCTGGTACAGACTAATAATTTTCATTCAAATTAAATTAGAACATTTCAAAATATTAAAAACTACAGGAATTTATTATTTGTTATTAACTGTCTCCATAGAGCTTGTGCCTCCATAAAGTTATTCCTATGCAAAGCATCCAACACCCTTGTGCTATGGTGCCTACTGGGAATTAGAATAAGAACTGAACAGTGCAATAGGTAAATCATTCAGTTTTGGAATCTGTCTGACTGCTCCAAAATATGTCAGACTAGGTGCTCTCAACAGAAAAAAATGAAAGCCATATCATCTACAACAGGGTGTCCAAAAAGTGTCTATTCAATGAAACTCTTTACCCAATGGGAAATATATTTATTTGTGAAACCAAATCATAATTGTTTGAAATGTTCCCAATTCAGTTCAAAGCATATTTGCAGTCAGTATTTCATACTCCTGTGAACCCTTTGGAACAGCTTTCATTGCCATCAATGGATGCACAAATGCATGTGATTCATTCACAGAGAGGGTCAAGATTCCTCATTTTTACTGGGTACACCAGGGGTTCCCAAACCCAGGTCATGACTGAGGGTTTGGATGTTGAATTTTGAGTTGTGACCAAAAAAGTTTGGGAACCACTGGGGTACACCTTAAGGAACCCCCATAAGAAAAAGTCCATTGAAGTGAGAGCCAGTGAACATGGAGATCTGTGGGGCCACGCCTGCTAATCCATTGTCCTGGGAAGTACTCAAGTCAATCATGAATGGGTAATGCATAGGAGGGGGTGTACCATCTTGCTGGAATCACTCTGGTAGACCCTCTCTGAGTCCATCAAATTGAGGCATTAATTCATCTCCTAACACATTCAGGTATCACTCACCATTTAAAGTTCCCTCAAAGAAAAATGGTCCTAGCAAGTGTACCCCATTGCCTGCACCACACCCAAAGTGTTTGAGATCCTTGCTGTTTAGTCAGTAGCATCCAATGTGGATTTTCCCATGACTAGCAGTACATATTCTGCTTAAAAAGATGAGGGGAAAATTAATGTATTGGGTAGAGGCTTTTTAAACACCCTGTCTTATGAGCCTATTGCGATACCTTCAGTTTCTGCCATCTCTGAAATTACTCCATTGCTCCATGGGTGGTCTCTTATATTTCTAGCTAACTCCATATCATACAGAGTAATCATTAATCATTGTAGATTTTTTATGCGATATTTCCAATACTGGCAACATGTATTCTTACATTATTGTTAACCTGAATATTATTTCAGCTTATTCAACAGTGGTTCTTCATAAGCTTAATAACTGCCACATGAAATGCAAGAATGGTCCATCCTCTAGCTCAATAAATACCTAAATTTCTACAATTTTACATAGACCACCCAAGAGAGATTACAGACTTCAGTCTCTAACATAATTCAATCAGTTCCATATGTGTTCTAAATTTATTGGCATATACCTGTATTGCCCCTCAGCTAGGGTACCAATATTGGTGCAGGGCAGTTCCAAAGTTACTGATGTAACACCAGACTCAAAATGAAATTGTGTACAATGATATATCTTGAAAATGGTTACATCCAGAAATTCTATTTCAACTGTGCCTTATACAGCATACAGTAGATACCTGTACCTATTCCAGTCAAACTTTTCTCATCTCTCCCATGGATGAAAAAAAGGAAGGCCATTCATGTCCTGTTACTGACGTAACACAGTTTAGACAATGGTTTCCGTCCTGCTCCTTCCCTTCCAATTTTCTCTGATTTCTGAATTTCTCCAGTGTTACTGATGCTGGAAAAGTCGCTTAGTCAAAAAGTGAGATTCACCAAGCAAGTGTTACATTCATTCAAATAAAATGGTGCAGGAATAATCCTGCACTATCCCACTTCAGGTGATGAATGTTCAATGGAGCATATTTGTTCCAAGTTTAGTTATACAGTGCAGGAAAAACCCCTCTAGGAGCTTATTGTCTCATTGTAAATCTGCTGCTGTCTTTGTATGGTATACAATTTCTATTCTTCCTTGGTATCCATCAGCATGGGACAAGTCTGCATTAGTAACAATTTGAGCAAAGATTGGAATAGGATGCATTGGGTGATTATGATGATAGGCCCCCATCCACAAACAGAACTACTAGTTCAGCCACAAAGCTGATGATACAACTTGAATTTTTAATTTCTGCTTCTTACATATTTTTTTGGGCTATCATGGCAAAATTTGATAATCTTGTGAAGTGGGTAGATCACATCAGAGCAGTTCATGTAGCAAGAGATACTGGTATGGCATGTATTTCATGAATTGCCAACAGACTCAAAAAAAGTAAAAATTTGAGAAAAGAAAACAGGAACAGGGATCATATGAGTGCAAAAATGGTTTCAGTGACTGTGGAAGGTCTGTCACTCTCACATGAGAGCAAAATCATCTTCTGGGAGTCATTAGGAAAGAGGAAGGAAAGAGTGCAGGCTTTGATGAAAAGACATAAAAATCCTTGGGGAAGAGGAAAAGCTATGACAGTGTCAGATGAGAAATGGTGTGGTTGGGAGCTAAACCTTTTCATGTGATCAACAAGCCTTATAAATCAGAAGAATTGCAATTGCAGGTTTTGCAAAAACCTATGAGAATGAGATAAAAACAACTTCATTCTTCATGCACTATGTGATTCTTTATCTCAAGAATATGCAAGACCAATGCGGAAAATTACAGAGGCTACAGTTTACATGCCAGTGAAATTGCTGAAGTGATTGGTGCTATCAAGAAAATACAGGGTGGGACAGATTTCAACAGTACGCTATACTGCACTTACAGCATATATTTTTATGTGGTTTGCAGCATTTGAAAGGGGAATGAATAAGCTTTACAATGGTGTGTTTACATTTAAAATATATTCAACATTTTCAGAAATTCTGGAGCTCATACAAACACCAAGCAAAAATTATGTTGCCACAGGACAGGACAGGGATGGCCAGCCCTCATGACAGAAGGTCACATTCCATCTCCATCTGAGAACATGGCAACACAGTTCTTGGTTGCTGTTCATATGATCTCCTGAATTTCTGAAACTGCTGAAGATATTTGATAGGTAAACACATAATTTTTAAGCTTATTCATTCCTCTTTCAAATGCCGCAAACTGCGTTAAAATATCTGCAGTTGCATGAAGGGTAGTGTATTGTTGAAAACCATCCAGGTTTTTTTGCCCACCCTGTACATTGGATCATTGAAGAAGCTGGGCAAAGCCAAGATGAATAATATTTTGCAGACAATTTTGACAGATAACATGATTAGATTCTTGAAAGATCCTGCCAGTGCTGACCCTACATCATCATGTTTCTTCATGATCAGGCCCCATGCATGAAAGCACTGGATACACTGGCTCATGAAAGTGAATAGTATTGACTTCTTTGAAAATTCAGAGTAGCCCAGATGCTCATCAGATTTGAATGCAAGTGAACATCACAGTGTACTTAACACATTAACAACTGGACATTTGAAAACCCAATATATGAAAACACTGAAATTTTTGTGATCTGTCCTCAAAGTGTTAAGATAGCAAGGGTGGACGAAATAATGCTTCAAGAGAACATTAGAACAAATTTTCGGAGAAAACAAGGATTAATTTGGAGACCATGGTTCATATAATGGAATTCAAACCTGAACAATTTCAAAAACTGCTGCTTTCATGTGCATCTTGTTTGAAGCTGTCAGAGTGGCAAATGGTGCCCACACTGATTATTTAACCCTTTACTGTATGATATATGAAAGTATTGAAGAAAAACGTTCAAATTTCATAAACATTTTCTTAAAGACCTTTAAAAAATATTTTCAAAATCAACATGCCAAAATTTGCCTTTTTTTTTGCAATTTTGGTTTTTATCAAAATGGGAGAAATTTGCCACAAAAAAAATAAAATACAGCAGGAATAATTTTTTTTATGAAAGAAAAAGATGTAAGCTAAGGATATAAGAAAAAATAATAAGAATATGTCAGAAAAAATGTTTAAATACATAGGATATAATTTTTTCAAATTAAGAAATTGAGAAAATGAGACTAAAGGTCACTTCTTTGCTGTGGTATGGACCCACTATTTTCAACATCTTCCCTGTTGGTAACAAGCATACATAAAAAAAAATGGTTTTCCTGATGGGGAACATCATGTACATTTCAGAAATTCCCCATTTCCCCCCCAAATGGTGAATCTTCTGCCATCATGAACAAAAATTGAAGGGTTAAATCAGCTTTCTCCAAGGATAAAAAACTGAAAAATCTGAATTTGGTATCAATTTCGTTTTGTATACCCTACTATTGGTGGCATGAGGGGAGGGGGGTCAATCATTACAGATCACCCTGCATGTATAGAAAACATGACAAAATGGATATGGAGGTAATGTATAAGGGATCATTTCCTGTAATGGATGTTTAAAAAATAATGAGAAAAACAATTGTGCTATCTGGTTTCAACAGCAAAATAATTTTTTGGATTATGCCTAAGCATCAAAAGATCCTCTGCTGTTTGGAAATCTCATCTCATGGTTTCCTCTCACCTCTTCATGCTTTAGGACCCTTTGAAAAAAATGCAATTAGCTTGAGTCCTGCTAACTTCTCAGATTTTGTTTCCTTAGACTATAATAGTTGAGAAGCACTCTGAATTCCGTAAAGAGATTCATTAATATTCTTTAACCACAGTGAAGAATCATCACATAATCACATATAATTAACTACTCTTAACATTTTATGAGTGCCACACATTTGAAAGAGACATGAGATATGTCAGAAGTTACTACCAGAAGTTCAAAAATTTAATTCAGCCCAGGGCATGGTACTCACCAATAGAAGCTTGTTGGCAACGAGAGGGAGGAAACACTATGGGACAGTGGTGATCTCACACTAGGAACCAATCTAGAGCAGAGAAAATTTAGAAAATGAAAAACTGTTCACTTTTTCATAAGGGTCTCCAAGGAGTGAAACTGACTCACATGCTAAAGTCACTGAGCTCTGGATCTGCAGTATCCTCCTTACATACACAGATGTAAAGGAAATAAAAAAGAATCATAGTAAGATCCATGGGAATATAATATTCACTAATGAATATGAACTGAGCAAGTTAATGACATACATGGTTCCGTCCACAGTACTTGATTTCAAGGTCAGTGAGATGACGCATAAATCGAGTATAGAAGGCTGAATGAGACCCATAAATCTTGACCCCCTCTTTCAATGTTAGCACCAAATTTGTGATTGTGTTCCGAAGAAGTTCTATCCCTTCCCTTTCTTCAGGATGTTCCATGGCATAGGACAGACTGAGGAAAGCCTCCTCATATTCTGAAAGCCCTTTGTTCACTTCTGGGCAGAGGATTCCTTTCAATTTCATCTCCAGCATGGAGATGGGGAAATTTGTTCCATTTTCTGCTTTGTACTTCTCAACTAAAGCTTGTAGGTCTTGTTTCTTTTTTTCAATTTCATAGACAGCAGTTGCAACAGCTCCTAACTCCTCATCTCTTGTGTCCATCACAGGTGACCAAGACATTATTCCTGTTGTTTCATGCAGATACAAGATTTCTCATCATCATTGACAAAATTATAAGTAAAAGTAAATGAATATAGTATGTGTACTCAAAAAGTAGTGATCACAGAGACATCATCATTCCAGGAGCAACATTGTAATGCTAAGTGCAATAGCTGCTTCTTGTACATCTGAATGAAAATTCAACTTTGCATGCATCAATGATTTCTTATTTTCTTATTGACTTTGGAAGTACCAGGTCTGCATCCTTGCAGAGACTTCCTTCAACTGCTCATGAATGTTAGCAGCATTATTGCCTGCATGGGTAAAAAATGAAATGACTGCATCTTGCTCCTCTTTTTGAAAAATTAAACATATTTAGTTTATAACTCAATAATTAATAAACAAGTTATTTCCACCAATTGGAAAGTTAAAAATTTTTAGAACCAAAACTTTAGATGAAAAATATAGTGAAATTGGATACAAAGGTGAAACTTTGCACAGCAGTGGAAAAAACATAGTTTTAATGTGTTTAGCATTTCAACGTTATTCCTGTACTGTTAAAGAAGGAATACCACAGTGATTGCTACTTTCTGGACATGCCCCATATTGAGAAAGATGAATTTAAATGAGAAAGATGAATCGCTGGTTCATCCTTTGATCTATAGTATTCACTAATTCACCCTCCAAGCATTCATTCAACCCTTCCATCTCTCAAATGAATGAAGGAGATGCAAGAGAAAAGAAGAGAAACCTGTGTCCCACACATGTGGCTCCCAAGGAGGAATTGATGTGCACAACTGGGTCACACCTCCTATCATACCAAAATCAGTCAAGAATAGCTCTTCCCAGAACATATTTGCAAATTCAGAATTCTGCTGATGATGGGAATTGAAAAACCAGTGGAACAGAAGGTTTTAATAACTTCCTAACATAGGAACACCAACAGGGGCACAGGGTCCCATCTTTGAAATTGGAAGAGTATAAAATAGGTTTTGCCCTGTCTACTCAAGAATTCCTCATATTTTCCCATTTTCATTAGAATGGAGACATCATGGATGGAGAAAATTCTTAAATGGCTTATGTAGAACCCCTTAGTTCATTAATCAGACAGGGCTGACAAGCAGGGGGGAGGTACTTGCTGGGAAAATGTGAGCTGGGAAACCTTTGTTAATTCTCTTCAATCCCTGAAGGGTGGGTATAAGTGTCATGATGGTCCCCCAGGCCATCACTAGAAGGGTCCTGTGATTAGTTAGATCCTGCGGATATTCCATTTTTTCAAAAGAACAAGAAAATATAAGTTGAAGGGGCTATGATAATCAAAGAAGACTAACCAGGTAGGCTAGAGGTTGTGGTCAAATGGAACCTCACTGTCTTGCGTGAGGCAACCTCTCCTCTCCTATAGCACCTGTCATAGGCAAACTTCTGCACTCTATTACACTTGTAATAAGAGAGGACCTGAGAATGACTTCCTGCTTTGGCCTGAAGTTTGCCAAATTCAGGGCTTGGCACTGGATCCACTTTATTGATCTGCAAGTCTGTTTAATGTCAAGTGAAATACCAAAACCATACAACAGAAACAACATCTTACTTCACATAATCAGCAGGAAAGCATACATTGAGATGATGACTCTTGGATATCAAATTGTGGAACATCCAAGGTTTGGAGGAGATCTGCATTTGGGAAAGCAGCAAGCATCCGATCATTGAAGGTTGCCAGTTGCTCATACCCATGCCCACGATGAACAAAAACCTGGAATGCAATAAAATTGACCTCATTCCCTGGGGCAGTGCACAAACCCCTCCCTTGAAATTGGGTACAGTGAATGCTCATCATTGAAATCTAACTTGTATTTTCACATTTCTTCCTCTAGAACTCACCTAGGAGTAGAGACGTTTATGATTCCAACTCATGCCACATATCACTCATACACCAGATGGTACTGCTCACAAAAGTATGCAAAAAATACACTGTGGCACAGATGAGGGTGAGGAAGAGAAATTCCCAGTCATTAATATATTGTAGAATAGGATAAGTATTGTAAATTAATTTTGGACACATTTTTTTCATGGTGAACTCTGACCTTTGCCTTTTATAAGCATGAAGAGACAACAGAGATATTTTTCTGAAATAGAATTCCAGTTTCTTTCTTTCTTCACCCCGTTAGGTGATACATCACAGGCATAGGCGATTCATCCCTCAAATACTTGCTAATTATTTTTGCTTCACCTTCAATTCTGATGCTTTCCTTCATTCCAGGATGAAAAGGAACAAGAAAAAACTATTCCTATGAAAACTGCACATTTCTTTGGAGCATGTAGTTGGTGTATTTTTTGCTTTTTAATGTGCCAACTGTTCTGCTACTACTCTGATATCTATGAGATCCTAGAACATGTTACTCATATGCAAAGATTGGAAAGTAATAAAAGCCATATTCATTCTACAGGGTGTTCCATAAGTCACTATACCATTTCCAAAAATCACAACTACTAAACAGTTGGCCGAAAAAAAAAGCAACATTAATTGAATGATAGCATGCCATTTGGAATTATCTTCGTCAAAAATAGAGGCAATTCTGAGTGCCTCAAGATGCCCTCCGCCTACATCAATACATTTGGCATGAAGCTCGGCAAGAAAAATCACCTAAACTCTCTTTAAATTCTGATGGGACTCTCAAAAAACTCCATCCAGGTGGAAACTTTTCTTCGTTGATCCAGCATCAATTCCAAAGCCTTTTCTCATGACAGCCAAAGCAAATTCAACAAAATGATTTATTGAATTTAAATGAATTTAAAAGGAAAGAAGAACATTAAAATATCAGCAATTTTGTAAAAGAGGATTGGAAAAGGTGTACCATGAATTATTCTAAATAGGTAAACCATTCTAATATGCATTCAAAGCAATTTCCATTTAAGTTTGATACCAAGTCATTATCAGGAAAAAATTCTAAGGAATGTTCTTTCCATCAATGCTAACAATAGTGACCTGCTTGTTGCAGTTTGGAAAATATTGCAGTTTGAAATGGTTTAGTGACTTATGGAACACCATGTCGATACGGAATAGTCAGGGCTCTCATAGATTGAGAAAATACAATGACAGCAGAAAATGTGATGCAGATCAAGAATGGTTCAGAGGCTAGTTTCAATATACGAGAGCTCATATTTCCTGTACCTGGTTTTTTGTCAGGAAGGGATAGCTTGCCACAGAAATATTCCTCTCCCCCTCTCCTCATAAATGCATGAAAAACTTTTTACAAAGGGATGGATTTATTTAAGTTAAACTGCATCACTGTAACACTGAAAATATACCCAGAAGTATATAAATATGAGAATCGGCATGATCTATAACTGAGATATGACTAGGAAGCAACTGAGGCAATTAGTCATCAAAGCAACTGAGGCAATTAGTCATCAAAGCAACTGAAAGACTCCTGTCTGTCTGAGGATTCACCTCACTGGTCTTGGATGAGAGTAAGGATGCAGGAATATACAGTAGTTTCGACTCCTGCAAATTCTATAATAGTACTAAATAATACTTTTCACCTCAAATTGAAGCTTTTTTTCTTAAAAGATTCTCCCTACAAGTGTTCTGGACTTTGGCATACAAATCAACCAAAAAGATCCCCTAAATTGCCTATAGCAGAGATAATAATAATACAAAGAAAACTGCAGATTTATTGCCATAAAATAAAGAAAAATGTGTATGTGAACATTTGATAAGATCACTGAGTAATAAATACAGCCATCAAGGAACATTGAGTAGCATGAAGCAGCAAAGAGATAGCAGCAAAAAGAACGTCTTTGGTGGGAGGTCATTGGTTTGATGTTTTTTCTAAACCTTTTCATGACATGATCATTACAAGGATAATTAATATCTTTTGAGACTGCTCTTGCTTTACTATATTTGAAAAACCATTTTTAAATGGTACCATTTGATAGCTCTCGATGATGGCTATTTCCAGATGCATCATTTGTTCAAACAGGCTGTTATTCAGGCATATTGAATCAAAAGCTAGGTTGTGAAGAGAAAAAAAAAACAAATTTCCTAGTTATTCATCTTCTTAATTCAGTCACGAAAGGGTTAATTCATTTGTAGGGATATTCTGATTATAAATTTAACTTACATCTCCTTCATGTCCACTGGCAATGCTGTTAAAAAAAGCTGCCATCAATGACCAAGAAGATCAATATATAAGTATTTATTAATGCTCTGAGTGTCTAAGCTCTGAGCTTTCATTGGGCATATGAAATACAGGATGAGGAGAATGCTTCATACATTGAAAAAGGATGTTTCAGCATCAATAAACTTTCACCATCAGTGAAGGCTAAAATTGCAATGTGATTACCAATTACAACAGGCAATCCTCTTGGAAGGGTAACTTAAGGTTGCTGTCTCTTGTTTGTGAGACTAAGATGTTATAGAAATGAGAGACAAAAACAAGTTTGAAAAATGAAACCTCTCCTTGTCAAACAAACTTTTGATTAGCCCTTGGGTGCAAGCCAAGACATCTGAGGCTCACACAGCATTGTGAGTCTCAGATGTCTTTAGTTTATGATTATTTTTTTGTTTAACTCCTCAAGTAGAATTATCAGCATTTGAAAGCACATGAGATAATCCCTATCCTTTCTTTTTGCCATCCAGAGTATGGCAGAAGGCCATCAACTTCTAGCCAATATATCTCTGCTCCCACTGGTGCTACTTTCACTGAAATTTCACTCTTCATTAATAGATGTTTCCAGCATGCCTTTAGAATTGTTTTCAATTTAATTGCTCTGAGGCAAGGCTATGAGCAATTATTAAAACGAAGTTACATAATTAAAATGAATTAGAGCTCATGCTGGTAGTGGAGTGGAGGACATGTCCAAGTCTCTGTTTGCATATCACTCAGGTCACATCAAATTTCTTCCATTGAAATTAATATTTAGGCTGACCTTTTCTTGCAGATTGTTTTTGCTTTATTCCAATTAATGCCATGAAATAATAAGAATCAATACAGAGAGTTTTCTCAGTTTATTCAGACATTCCTGTGGTTTTTGTCAGAGAATGAGGTAAGAAGACAAAGCAATCAGAAGAGTATGGAGCCCCTTGTCTATTTTCAATTCCCAGCTTCTTTTGAATAATTACTCATTGTCTTGCTTTGGTAATATCAATTTGGATGAAATATCAAATGTGTGTTAGGAATATATCAATTTACACACAGTGCAAGTTTAGCAAAAATGAAAGATCCAGTGAAAGCAGAGATGTACAGCTTTAAAATCCTTTTGTATTTTTTTTTGCCATGCCATGTATATTGGAAGTGAATGTAAGAAACTTTTCTCCAGTACCTAAGGTTCCCTTTATTAATATTTCAATTCAAATTCTGAATCCCAGACAATCTCCATGTTAACCATGAAGGCTATTTTTGAAAATTAATGTCAGTCTGTCAGAAGCAGGGAACCCATGAATTGCAAGCAGCATTTGGCTCTTTGGTTAGCCAACTGTAACTCTTGCCTCCAATAAAAAATATCCCCAGCTTATAGCTCTTTGGTCCCCCAAAGTGGTGTTGATGCACATACCCCTTGCACCTCTGCTCCCTCAGGCCCTTCTTGCCCCTCCATCCTAGCAGTTTTATGAAATTACATCCCTGCCTACAGTTGATGGACCATGAGATTCTCAAATCAGGTTTAGGTTTCTAAAGTTTCCAAGTTTGGCTCATAAGGTAGAAAAGGTTCCCAACACTCATACACTGCACCAAGAATTGGATTTACTTTTAACTAAATTCTCTTTGGGTTATGAGAAAGACTGTGTTTTTGACAAATCTTTCAGGTTGGCTCAGATCTATGTCATTTCTCAACAAAGAATTTCTTTAAACTTTACATGACTTGCTCAGACAAAAGTCAGATGCAGTACAGTGCAATCATCTGATATGATGAGCTTCACTTTTCTTCAGGCCCTCAACAAATGGCAGAGTCAGATATTTGGAATGCCAAAATATATGTACAGGGTCAAGATAGAGCATATCACAGCAGTTTTCAAAAATGAAGTATTATAGAGCCTATTCTGAAATACCCTTCTATTGCTTGCACATTAAAGAATTTGTGAGGACTTGATAAGGCTAATACAATTGTTGGAAGGTTAGAAATAGGAGTCAGGGTTGTAAGCTGGATACAGCAAGGTAAGTAACCAGTAAGTTACTCCACTTATTAGATTGGTAAAAGAATAGTCCACAAGCTTCATTCTCATTCCATCAATCATGAAGAAACTTCATTTTAGTATCAAACATTTCAGAAATATATGTTGCAAGCCCTGGCCTATTAACCCAAAATTATTCTTTAACATCTACTGTCAGGGAGGAGAGGCACAACTAACTGTATTCTGCAGGAGAGGAGGGAAGCCCTTGCCATGCAGGGCCACTCGGAAATAGTGTGGCTCTGGTCGCTGTCGATTCATGATGGCATCATAGAATCCTGCCATCGATTGGAGGAGCCAGGACAGATGACAGTAGTCTAAAACTTCACTTTTATACAAGTGCTCCAGCTCTTGACAGACCTTCAGAGCTTCTTCCCACAACTAAGAACAGCCATAACATTATTTCCCCATAATTAGCAATGCATCACCAAAGGAAAAACTTTTCAACACTCACCATAGCTGAGTCGAAGTGTTTGATGGCTTCTTTTAGGATGTCCTCTTTGAGTTTGGCCTGAGAAGATATGTGTGGCATGTGAGGAGAAGTGAGAGACATTGTGAGAGTATCTGATTTCCAACTCAATAGATTGCTGTGCAGCAGGAGTGTGAAAGCTGCTTCAGCATCTTTCCCATGCTTGATATGTAGATTATACAGCTTGTAGAGGTATTTTATGTACATTCCTAGGTGCCCTGCACGTTCATAAAAATTCTGGAAAATGCCAGAGATTCATCAGAGAAATATGACATGAATCAGTGATGGAAAGGATCTCCTTATACAGGGTGGGCCAAAAAAACCAAGCTGTCATTTTCAGTGAGTCGTCAATCTCATTGTAGGCTGCCGATTCTGATTAAATTTAGCAAGCTAAATGGTGACACAATTGGAGCTTTTATTCCAAATGTCAGCTTTCTGGCTCTAAAATGATAGGAGCTGTAATTATTTTCTGATGGCCCATGACAAAATGTACTGTCAAAAATATTGGTATGAACTGGAGGTCGGGATGAAAGGGAGGGCTGAGTTCATGACCTTCCATCCCTGCATGATGCTATAGATTAAGATTAGGAAGCACTATCTCAAAAGATTTATTGACCGAGCCATTGATCTGTGGCATCCCAGACTAGAGGTTTGTGTTCAACAGAATGGAGGACAAATTAAGCACTTTTTCAGTTTAAATGAACCTACCTAAGCAAAATTGTGTGCTTTCGTTTTTGGCATTTGTGCATTTTGTTTTTGTCCCATTTGTTAGCTTGTTTTTTTTTTTGTCAGTTGTGAGAAATTTTAAGTTGAAAGAAAAAAATGAACACTTAGTTTTTTGGCAATGAAAAGTAAATTAAACACCAATCTCACAGTTTTTGGAATTTTTATTTGAAACTCAATCCACAAACTCTAATTGAGTCTCTCTATGCGCCTATCAAATTTCATCAGAATCGGCAGCCTACAATCAGATTGACAGCTCACCAAAAATAATAGCTGTTTTTTTTTTGGCCTACCCTGTATATGCAAGGGCATAGGAATGTTCTGGAAAGTGGGGGAGACAAAGGCCAAATCCAGAAGAAGGGAATGGGTGCTGAGCTGATGCTATCTCCAAAACAAGATTCAATAGAGTTTGATAAGCACTAACTGGGAAAAAGAAGGCATGAGCTCCTTTCCCCCCCCCTCCACCCATGCTTCCTATGCCCAATAAGTAGCACAAGGAAATTGATATTACCATGAGAGAAACAGTGGCAATGACAATCATTTCATGACTCTCCTCCCGAGTTACAGCCCAGTACTGCAACAATGCATTCATCTGCTCCACTACAACTTCAATCATTTTTGTTGCCTATCACAATAAGTAGGGGGAAATTCAGACACATAAAGATAGAAGGCATGTTCATTTTATACTTAAATCTATCTTACTGAGTCTCTCAGATCCTCATGCTGAAAAGAGAGGTCTGTCAATATAGAGTGGAACTGATCCTTGAATGCATCATCTCCTCTTCCCATGCCAAAGAGATGGTCCACCTGATTTACGAGCTCATTTTCCACCAGCTCACATGTGGATTTCAAGGCATTCTCATCATCTAGTGATGTACATATACCTTGTATACAGAAAAGTCACAAATGGAAAATGAACTAAATTATGGCCTCAATCACACCTCACCTGATCTTGGAGAGCTGAAAACACACTGAATGATATCAAAGAATAGGGGTATGCTCTGTTCTCGAAGAGTTTCTTTTGGGATTAGAGACATTTCTAGGAAAGGCCCAATCACCATTGGTAAAAGTTTCATTCGCTGTTGACCTGCAACGAGGTAGATAAATTTAACTTCTATATATCCATTCATAGCAGCTTAAATAAAAACAATGAAACAAAAGGGTAACTTGCCCATTCCAGACCAAATACTCCTAAGTTGAGAAGCAAGTGTGAGTCGCATGTCTTTGTGGCACACTGAATGCAACAGTGATTTTCTTCGTTTTGAAAAACTCTCTTCTTGAAGATGATGATGGTTGATGAAAGCAACACAACACTTGAAAAAACTCATCCAAGTGGAGCTACAAAATTCTTCAAGGAAAAGCTCTTGCATTGCAGAACCAACTGTCCAGAGGATATCATGGAGAGCTCTATAATATAAAAAAGCAAAATGCTTCAAACAGAGGAAGACAACTCCAGACAAACTTTCCTGTACCTGAACCCTGTTCCCATGCAAACTCTTTTACAAAATACAAATAAAGAAGGCTTTTCTACTATCTACTAGCACCATACCTTGAATCATCTTTGATGACTAAGCATTTCCAGCGCAAGGGTGACCTCCAAGTAAATGCCTCTAAATTACAATTTAATACAGGCAAACTCTATTAAATCTATTGTTCAATGAAGCCTATTTCAACATGGGTGCAGTTACTCACTACTTCAACCAATCAGATTATATGATTCCTGCAAATGGAAATGACATTGCTATGTACTTTGCTTCAGATGAAGAATACAGTTTAATGAGAAACAGCAGATGTCAGAATTATAATTTACAAAGCTAATGAGAAATTCTCAACACTTCAAGTATTATGACCACAGAATGACTGAAGGTTTGCTTGCATTGGAGATAACATTTTTACTCATGAGAGATTCACCATTAAATCCATCAATGATTAAGTTTGATATAGGATATACACATCATCATGCATATTTCTCTATTTATACTTCGTACATATGCATTATGGAAACTTTTACTTCTTCTGTAGAGAGTACATGCTCATCATGAAGTACATGAAAGTACATGCTCAAAGTTTCAAACCCTTGAAAATCTTTCAATTCCAGTGAAACAAGGTTATTGATCCAAACCTCATTGTGCTGAGAGACAAGAGCATCCAACTGTTGGAGAAAAGTGGTTTCTCAGGATCAAAAAGATTCTGCATGAACTCAAGGAAAACTTCAGCTCTCTCAACAGTGAGAAGTCCAGGGAAGAGTGAAGTATTATCTCCCCGTAGGTAAAGCAGATAGTCACTTTCACTCATCAGATCCAACAGTATTACAACCACTACAGTGAGTTGATCCTACAGCAGAAAGAACAAAACCAGGTGTTGGAATAGGCAGACTTCTAAGATGATATCCTAGCACAAACTTGGCTTGATTGAAACTGAAAATATGCAACAGCTTGAGCCATATCCTAATCAAACTTGGCATCTTACTTTGAACCTTACTTTCTAAAACCTTTCTAAAACCTACTCTTGCATGAAAAATGTGCAGGAAAAATGTTCATAATTGCTAAAATTACTCCTTTACTATTCCTAAGATGAGAAAAAGACATAAAATAATGGTACTCTTCCTTTAACAACTTTCTAAATTATGAGGCCAAGTTGTAATTCTGTGAAAGAAATCCAATTAAAGAGACTAACAGTCAATGAATCAAGCTGATTGCCCTTTCTCCTTGATAGGAGCATGCCCATCAGTGGGGAGAGCAGTTCCTGAGAGAGGTGAGAAACTTCCTCTGATATGCCCTCATTCCTGTCTTTCCACATTGCCAAGAGCACTGATTTGAGCAGCTGCATCATCAGTTCAACCTACAGGCAGAAAACATGTGCCATGTGACCAGGTATCATATCCTTCTGGACAAAGGAATCCTTATTCATCTGATTTCCATACCTCTGACTTCCATATATCTGCCACAGATAAGCCGAGCAACTGCTCAGCTTTGTTTCTTGATCCCCTCAATGAGCCACTTTTACCAGACACATATAGAGATGATCCACTGCTGGTTCTTCCCTGTATTGAGGTACACTCATAGTCAGAAATAGGATGCTTCTCAGGGAATGGAGAGAGCTTTAATAATGAGTGAACTTGTACCACTCCTTTAGTCTCTAAACAACTTGCTGCAGCAAAAGAGTGGGTGACATCTAAACACTTCAGCAAATGAATGAATTATCAATGCAATAAAAATGACTAAAATCAATCAGGAAGAGTGATTCATAAGAGGAGTGCCAACATGCAACAAGTAAATTCCTGATTTATGGTAATTATTTATTGTCACTTTATACCTCCCACTTCCTGGATGTCACTCTGACTCATACATCTTATGATAAAAATAGAACAAATTAATCCATTCTTGGCCTGAAGCGCTTATCCCATCAGAAAGATGCTTAGATTTTTTAAGATTTTTTGCAGAGTAGAGTCTGATGAGCAGACAACATCTTGGAAGAAATATTTTTACATGAAAGAAGCATATTTTTTCAGTTCTGTGTATAAAAGGAAAGAAGAGAGATAAAACCTCTTGACAGCAGATGCGTTCCTTGAGGAGATGAGTGATGAGGGGCAAGAGAGCAAGGCGAGATGCATGATAAGTGAAGAGAGGACTTTGTGCCAGAGCAAGGAGAGAGAGTAATTCTTGAGTTGGCAATCGCCAAGTGGGCAGCACGTCTAGCAAATCCCTCCACCAACATCTACATTAATGCATGCATGCAAACACTTTCAAACTTAGTGAAATTCCTCTTTCCATCATTACAGTACCAGGAAAAATCCAGCAGAAGGACCTACGAGTTCAAATGAAAGTCAGCTGTGATTGTGTGCTACAGTGAGCAGAATACATACAAAACAACCATGGTCAAGAATCACTGATGCTGAAGAGAAAGGTGGGGACAGTCCTGACTAACCCTGCACTTACTAGAAAAATGCTGGCAAACCAACCATTTTGATCAAGGAACCTTGATAGCTTTTCTTTGCATGGATTTGAAATCTCTTTTCATTCTTTGCTGCCTTTGATTTTCTAGTCATATAATACATTACAGGTCTAATATACAACCCCTATAAGAATTCAATGAATAATTGTGACTTGCACCAAGGCACCTCCCTCCAATACATGGATACAAGAATCTATATGCTAGTGAGGTTCCTCAGTGCTCCCATAGAGCTTTCCATACAGAAGACAACAAGAAATGGCTCCAGTACATGTTGGGATATTTTTGGGAGTCCTGCATGGTGACCATGGTGAGCATATGGTCGAATAAATTTTCTTGAAATTTTCACCAGTTAGCTAATAAGAGATGGGCAATAATGAAATAAGTAAGTAGAAGCTTCAATTTTACTTTATGGCATGGAGTCAGTGCTAATGGCACATGCATTGAAGTAATAATGTTGATAATTTGCATCATCAGCCTCATCTATCAACATGAATTTAGAATTTTAGGACTATAACTCATGCATGGCATACAGACATAGCACTGGACAAAGTGAAAAGATTACCCAAAACTTACGCAATGTTGGTGTGGTGTATGAGATTAAGAAGATGGGAGGTGATTGCTGGAAGATATTTGAGAATTTCTCCAGGCAGCACAAGAGAGTGATCAGAGGTTGATGAAACAAGATCACAGAGACCTTGAAAGAACTCTTCCCAGAACTTTTCGAATTCATGTCTTCCTCCTTCATCCTTTTCACCATTTTTCACCTCAAAGTGTCTGTAAGAAGAAGGATACAATCAGACATAAAACTTCTGTATCTTGATAGAACATTCCTAGATTGGCTTAACTTAATTTTTGCCATTGAATCATATATCTATTCAGCAATAATATTTCAGGAGGTTCTACAGCAGACTCACTGTGTGGAAAGGACCCAGGAGCGGCTGATCAAGCGAGCAAGAGGCTCAATATACTTTAATGTTCTCCTCAGCTGCTCAACTTCATTGTAATCTTGAACCAAGTGTACAAGTGAGCACAGCAAATCCCTGCACAATAAAATTAATGGAATGAATTATAATAAAGGAAACAAAACCATGTAAAACAAGTGGTGTCATATGCTCTCATGAGAAAGTACAAGATTGACAAGGTTTCACCTGTAAGCACATCTACTGTAGAACTCTTCTGCAATGTATAATTCCACCTTTAGGTGAGCATGAGATCTATAACGAGCATCTCCTGTCACACTCATGACTTGCACCTAGGATGAAATAATTGGTCGCAATAACTATTCAATCATTCTTCATGATTTACTTCCAAGAATAAATCCCCTGAAAAGGTGCAGAGTTTTTTCTTGGAAAGGTATATATTTGAAAGGAATGCTATAGTTGGTGCTCTCTCCATGAGTGGGAGAGGCAGGGTTACCAGAGCCTTGAGTACACTTGGAAAGCAGCATCTTTCCCTGCTTGTGCGAGACTCGTCCAAGATGCGAAAAATTGAGTCCAATACACGTGGAATGAATTTGATAATTTCTTCATTTGGAATGGACTGGAGGCTGTTCAGGAGGACCATTCTGTCTCCATCCAGCTTGGGCCACTCAATGAATGACACAAGGGCACCTAGAATAAAACACATTTATACTTAAGGATATTTCTTCAGATTTTGTTTTGCTCATGTTGGAGAAGGAAGCAGATGGAATCCAGGCACTCAGGTGATATTTTTAATATCACAAGGTTAAATGAGCCTATGTTCAGGTCATATGGGTGGATGTTCAAAGGTAGGTGCTTCATTGTGGGAGCAATAGCTAAAAGGTAAAAGTACTAAATTCTCAGGCAGATACACTGATGGGAAGAGGATGGAATATGTGCAGTACTCCAATGGCTCAGATACAATACTGGCCTTGCGATGTTTAATCTATGTTTTGTCCAGCAACAAAAGGGAAGAAAAGAAAGGTAAAAGATTTGCCAAAGAATAGGATTTGAAACTTTGTATCCTCACATCAGAATCTTGCAGCAAATTTAGATCATTCACATCTGGGTCAAACTAATTCTTATTATTTGGAGGTGAATCTGAAATCAAAAGGCAAATCCCACATTTTAACAATGATTCGCAGCTCAAATCCAACTGCAGGTTACACTGGGCCTTCTCTGCTTTATTTCCCATATGATTTTCCCCATATTTCCCAAATCCAAAACAAGGAAATGATGCACAACTAAGGGGACTATTAGAATATGCAAACTAAAATCCTATGGCCCATCATATCTCCGAGGGCCAGGGGGGGCACATGTTTGAGGCATTTCTATCTTTCATTCCTTTCACCTTTTTGAGCAATCCAAGCTTTTTGCAATAAAATCCAAGCCTTTGCCCCTGTTGCAACATGCAGCATGATGCCCCTGCAATATTTTTAGTATATTATTATTCATTAATGTCTTCAAGGACTAGAGATTTTGACCTTTGATATAGAATGCAATATACACAGATTTAGTGAAATTTCATGCAAAGGCTCTTTGAAGAAATGGGCATGGAATGAACTCATGCACAAAGGGTGAGGCCATGAAAGCAGACAATAAAGAACATAAGAGAGGTTTATATAAAAGTCTGCATACAGAAAATAAGTATAGGAATGAAACATCTCAGTGAAAAAAGGCCTTCAAAGGAACAAATGAAAAAAACCCAAAGAGGCAGCAAGAAAAAAAGGCAAGAAATTAGGAAAAAGACACATGCCAGTAAGTTCTTCCTGTTAGCCCCCAAATACAGGATGTTTCACAAAAACGTTTACCATTTTGACTTGCTGTAACTAATTTATTTCAATAGGTATTCAATTCAAAGAAAAACTAAGTGAAAGAGAAACTCATACATCTTCTTTATGTTAAAGATAGTCCATGATAAGTGTCCAGTTTACAGAGGAATACAAAATTTCATCATAGAACGTTTCTTAGAAACCAAATCACCCAAAACAACCCAAGGAGACTTTCAGAGAAAGTTTCTAGGATAGCACCACCATCTAAACCAACTATCACCAAACTGGTGCAGAAATTTCATGAACTAGGTACAATAAAGAACCAAAATCATGAACATAGTGGGAGAAAATGAACAGCTAGAATAAAAGTTGCTGTTGAAGAAGTCAGAAATGCACATGCACCAATTTCTTTGGACTCTGTAGCATTGCGTTTGACTACAGTCACATTATGTGGTGCCTTTGGCACCATGGAGGGTGAGTGCAAAGAAAAACAAATCAATTAAATCATTAAATTATATTGAATTATGCTTCTTTTGACATAAAAATCATTGCTTTATTCCAAAAATGACAAAAGTTAATACAATTTTAAAATAGGGAGTGACTTTTCATTCACACTGTATATCTACAACAAAGAATTCATCAAATTTCATAAGTCTTGAAGTCACCTAGTAAAGGAAGCACTCTAAAAGCTGTTATTGCACCTGCTTTTCAATATGTTAAACTTCAAAGTATGGCCAAAGCATTAGGGCCATAAGTGAGGTGGTGTACATAACATGTTTTGACTGTACATCTAAATAGTCATGCCCCATTCCAAGATATGTATGAGGGGGAGTCAAATGAAAACATGACACCCTCAGTTGTTGTTCTCTGCGTACAGCAAATCCTGTCATATGGAGCTAGTAACATGAGTAGCCTTGGCAATACTGTCCTGCCTACCCCCATGTCTCAGCTATTAGCTGAATGAAATCAGTGTGACTGCAAAGAATGAATGTAGCAGTAATTATGGAGTGCACTGAAGAAGAGCTTTGAGCAGTGATCTGTTTTTTGGTCACTGAAGGTGTAGGAGGCAGTAAAATCCATCATAGACTACAGAACATATATGGTGACAGTTGCATCTCAAGGTGCAGAATCTACAAATGGATGAACAAGTTCAAGAAAAGGGCAACAAGTGTCAATTCCCTGATGCTTTCAGGAGTGACCACATGATGAGCTTGTCCCAGACGTAAATGGGTGAAAGCATTCTTCCCACTTCTGTTTAGATAAAAAGTGAGAAGAAAAGAGATCAACAAAGGTTTTGAAAGCAGAAACATATAATATACTGTTGCTTTTGTACACAAGCAGAACAGACAGTAGACAGCTTCAGGAAGTAACATCCCTTGGAAAAATGGTGGTCAGATGCAAGTCTTACCATATTGAAAAATGGACAGTTGAAAAATGAAAGGGAGAACATCACACACTCACGATTGGAAGTCAGCTTGTTAGAAGAAAGGGTAGTGGACACAGTGAAAGATTCTTTCTGACTGAGACTGTAAATTGGATGCTTCCCTATTCCAGATAGTTTCAAGTAACCCATGTCATTCTCATGCCACTTCCGTGGATCCAGAATCTGCAAGGGAAAAGGCTGCATGGTCCTATCACCACTCCAAAGATATGCTTTAGTAGAGATTCATCATCACTAGCAGACATGCATTTCTCATGAAATATGACTACCAAGTAGCAACCCAGCACCAGAAAATGGTGAAATTCATCACATTAATTGAATCTTATTACCACATGGCTTACCTTGAATACTGGAAGAGCATGAGTCCCACATTCAACAACTCGTCCCATATTGTCAACTAACAGGAGATAACTGATAGCAAATGGCTTCTGTCTGTCTTTCTCTACAACTGATGATCTACACAGGAAGAGGAGAGGAAAATAATCAATGAAATATGATTCCACTGTTTTCATTGCTGCACTCAAGCAATAATGTCTTCCTTCCAAATAAGCAACAAATAAATAAACTGTTTATTATATTAATTTACCTGTGTCTGAAGGTGAACTTCAAATGATGGCATGCTGAAGGCGTATCCCAGGGAATCAGAATGCAGAAGGTTTCATTCCAGACTGGTTTATTTGAATGATAGTAGATGTAAGAGGAATACTTGTCAGCAAATTCACTTCCTCTCCCAAGTGTAACAGCACCCTATGCAATAGGACACACATTCATTATTTTGATATAGTGCTTTTACAATGAAAATGAAAAAAAAAATCTAGTACAAGCTAGGAATAGTGTTAATTTCAAATTGAAATTTCAAATACCTTCAGAATGGAACCAGTCTCAGTGTGCACTGAAGCACAGACCTCAACATTCTTCTCGCTTCTTTTATTGCCTTTAGAGAATTCTCCTTGGAGGATGGTGACATATAAATCATTTGAGTTGCCAGGATCTGCTCCTAGCAAAGGCACATGCACAAAATCTTTTTCTACCATTCCCTGCTCCTTGACCTGACAGAAAAAAGTAAAAAAAAACATGTGCTTGATCTATCATGGTACCCTCTCATGCAAGATGAGAACTGAGGAATACTCAGAGTGTGAATATCTTATATGTAATCAATCCCAGATAAAGCACTTCCAACAGCTCAACAGCCCAGCAAGAAGATAATAGTAACTATCTTACATTCCAAAACAAATACTTTGGAGTTCAGACCATCTCAACTTGATCAATTCAAGAAAAACAAAGCATATCTGTAAAGAGAACAGCACAGGCAGAGAAAATTATATAATCATACCTTGTTCAGATCTCCTGTCACAGCTTGCAGGATAACAGAGATTCCTATGGACTTGGGTGAAGCATCACGCAAAATGAAGAACCTGGTGAGAGTTGCATCCAGAGATTCACGATCTCCACATCTGCAGGATAAACAATACTGGGTGTCATGGAAGTTGGTATGGTGTAGGGTTACCATATTTCAGACAGTCAAAAAGGGTCAACTCAAGTCAACTCAACCCTGCTTTCCAAAGTTGGAAAATTGAGTCTCTTCTGTTTACTGACTCAATCCTTAACCCAATCACATCCAGCAACTTTTTCACTTAACAGCCCTTTAAATGGAGTGCAAGCACATAGCAGTATGCTTGTAAATGTGAATGTGTTAAGCATCAACTTATCTTATGATACCTACCTCATCCATGGAAATATGACAGTAGACTTACAATATACAAGGTAAAAAGAGACGCATTTCTTCAGGAGATTCCAGTAGTGCTACAGGAAGAGGAGCACCAGCAATGCCAACTGGTCTTCTCCAGCCACTCATCTGGTGGCTCATGCCTTTGGAGTTCTCTTCAGGCAGAAGTGTGAGCCCAACATGAATCACACGGCACATGAGAAATAGCCTGTGTGACATAAGCTCCCCTGTGCTGACATTCTGTAACAGGAAGTAAACTCAATTGATCCCTGCCTCTGAAATGAATATCAAACAATTCTGCAATCACTAGTTTTCTGCTAAAAAAAAAAAAAAAAAAAGACTCCCAATTTAGGCAGAACTAAAGAAGGGATAAATGTGACTGAAAAACAGAACACAACAGGTCCATTTTCCTCACCAGAAAGACACCAACTTGTTGAGGGTTACACCTGGGCTTGAGGATCACACTGTCAGTGATCCTTTGAGGAGGCTGATGGCTAGTAGAATAGAGAGAAAAAATTAACTGCAATTCCTGTCCTTTCAAATTTCCATATGCTTCATCTGCACGAATGCAGAGAGAGCAGCTCTGTTCTGGGGAAGATTTGCCAAATTTCTCCAATTCCTGCGAGAAAAACACATCAAATACCAACACCAGTGAAACCAACACATATTCAAGGAAATGCAGCCACCAAGTGTAGTGATTGTTTGGCTTTGATACCACTGCTTAAGACATAAGGCCTGAGACCAAATTAAGTTTCAGTTGCTTCCTTACAAGTATGAATCAAACCCTCCTAAAATATAGAACTATCTCATAATAATAATTTTACCATACAAGCATTACTACATTTATTCATGTCATAACTTACAATATGAGGGGTACCAAATAGATTCTCAGCCTGACCATGGTGTGGTGATTCGTCAACAATAGTTTCATTTTGATTTTTCAGCAATAACCTTAAAAGAAATGCACTACTCTCATAGTCTCTTTAGCATCCCTATGCCCATTTTTAAACCAATCCTTCAGCAACCCTCAAAACCACCCTTCAGTTTCACACTTCACTGCATTGCTATCCTGGAATCTTTTTCACTCAGATGTGCCTTCTGATGTCAAAGCAAGTAAAAGTCACTGGATGTCAGGTCAGGTGAATAAGATGGATGTAGTAATTGTTCAGAGTCATCAGGTTTCACTCCCAAACACCATCCATTAATCTGCTGGAATTGCATTAACCCTTTGATGATAAAGTTGGAAATAATAAAATGAAAAAATTCATAAAGTGGAACTAAAAAACAGGTTTTACCAGTTGAAATAATTATAAAATTATTTATAATATAATTCATCATATAATTGATTAAAATATTTCAATAATATATTTTTTAAATTAAGAAAATGATTATCACTGTATCTTACATTCACATTTGTTCACTGGGAAGTATAAATCCTGCTGTGCATTACAGGGTTAAACTGGTCCAAATTCTGTTAACTCATAATGACCCTGTTCCAATGGTGAATGACAGAATATTAGGGGAGTACCCAATGGGCACAAACCTTGAAGAGTTATAGCTTTTCATGGAAAATGAATTGAACAATGCCCTTTGAGACAGTTGAAGCCTGTACTATTTCCCTCATTTTAATTCATCTGCCCTCCATCACTAGTTTTCATATGGAAATGCAAGTTTCTACTGATGTCACCTCCAAAGGTCAAACTGGGCATGGATCACCTTTGATCTACTCTTGATCTCATTGGAATTCAGCTTTCCACTTCTTTTACATGTTGCGGGAAGATGAATAATTCTTATAAGAGTCAGTAGTCACATATGAATACTCTGCAGTGACAAATCCCCTTTGAGAAAATCTTCATTATTGACCTGCACTCAAATGTTTGGGAATCCAAGAAAATTCAATCATATAACAAAATAGCAAACTGTTAAAAATACATCAGATTGGTTACAAGCTTCTAACTTCATAGAGGAACAATGTGCTTGTGACAACTAGCCTGCATTGTTGCACTTGAAACACTAATGGCAAAAAGTAGTTGGGCCAAGAACTTTTAGGCATCCCTCATATATGGTTTTGCATATTTCCAATAGTTTTTTCAACTGAAAGGAACTTTGATGTCAATATTTCAAGAAGTGCAAAGATAAACGAAGAGGGTAAATTTTGAAAAGCACAAGGAACCAAAATGCAACAGAAGCAAAGCCAAATGAATTCAGAACAACTTGCCAAAGCTTCAACCTCATCAATCCTTCGATGGGCTTCATCATGTGCATCATAGAGCTGAATCAGACTACTTTGATTGGAATGATGAGACTTGAACTGATGCCCCCTCAACACTTGATCCAGTCCCAAAATTCTAAGAGTGAAATGAAAAAATGAACAAATCTTAAACATAAGGAAACAAAAGCAACAATGATGGCAAGCAGGTTCCCACTGACGGGATCTTCTCTTGGGGACAGAACTTCACAAAGGAACCATGAAATTTTCACAATGCCTACACCAGGGAAATTTTTGGCATGGCAGAATGTGCACCACTTGAGCATTCCCAACTGAAAACCCCCATATGAACTCTTCCCAAAACCTCAACACCCAACATATCTCCCAAAAAAAGCTAAATAAGGAAAGAGAATCAAAGACATAAGGTATATGGATCAACCCAAAACATCAACAAAAAAGCCTTAAACTTAATAACACTCAACTGAGTGACTTTTTCAATTCTTCTCAATTTTCTGAATTTCCCATTCTCCCTTTGCTTATTCAGTCTGAGGGGAAAGGTGGGGGCAAGATTGCAATATGGATTCCTGCATGAAGAGGCTCTGTTAGAAATACGTAAAGGAAGCATCATGCAGTAAATGGGTATGACTAACTGCACTAGATACGAGGGCCACTCAATAAGTTATCTACCTGAATAGGAAAGGGATGAGCAACAGGCCTGTGCCTGCTGTGACTTGTCTCGACAGGTCTCGTGAGTGCCCCACCACTATACCAGCTCAGTGGCTCAAGTCCGTTCAAAGTGGTAGCGCATTAGATTTCTTTTCCTGAGTCTGTGTCATGGATTTGACGAAAGTCTAACATCGTTCAGTGATGAAATTCCTCACCGAAGAAGGGAAAGCACCTAAGGAGATTCATGAACGTATGTCTAACGTTCATGGTGTGTCTTCGCCTTCTTATTACCAAGTTAAATTTTGGAGCAAGCAGTTTAAGTGGGGAAGAGAGTCGATTGAAGATGACCCAATGTCGGGGCGCCCTGTGGAGGCTTCTGATCAGGAAATGTGTGACAAATTGGAGAGTGCGATACTGGAGGATCGTCGCACCAAAGTCTCTGTTTTAGCTCATGAACTGGGGATTTCAGAGGGCACAGTGATTCACATTATTCATGAAAAATTACACATGTCCAAAGTCAGTTCTCGATGGGTCCCAAGAATGCTGACTCCAGCTCAGAAGAAGAACAGATCTGACATCTGCAAGGAAAACTTGGAGTTTTCTAAACAAATCGGGGAAACTTTTTTTCCCAGAATAGTAACTGGTGATGAAACTTGGGTTCATCACTGGGATCCCGAAACCAAGCAGGAGTCCATGCAGTGGAAGCACAAGGGATCGCCAACGCCTCGCAAATTTCGTGTTCAGAAATCTGCAGGAAAGATTATGGCCACTGTGTTTTGGGACAGCGAGGGACTACTGCTGCTTGAGTTCATGCCAGACAAGTGTACAATCACTGGCGATTCCTATGCTACCACCATGAAAAATTTACATGATGCCATCAAGGAAAAACGCAGAGGAAAGTTGTCAAGGGGGGTCCTTCTTCTCCATGACAATGCGCCCGTCCACAAATCATGGAAAGTTCAGGCAGCAGTGAGGGAGTGTGGCTTTCAGGAGCTCAACCATCCTCCCTACAGCCCGGATCTGGCTCCTAGTGACTATTTTCTGTTCAGACACTTGAAAAAATTTTTGCGGGGAAAAAGATTTTCGTGCAATGAAGAGCTGAAAGTTGCCATTTCTGATTGGTTTGATGGACAAGAAGTTGACTTCTATTCCCAGGGAATAAAATCCTTGGAATCAAAGTGGAATAAGTGTGTTGAGTTAAAAGGTGACTACATTGAAAAATAAAGTGCTATTTTTACCCTCGGATGTTTCTTTCTTATTCAGGTAGATAACTTATTGAGTGACCCTCGTAGCATATATTGTATCACCATGGAACTTGTGAAGACAGAATGACCAGGATAAATTGATGGTCAATTTGTATTCCATATTTTACATGCTTTTTTCATATCCTATGATGAAATTTGATAAATTCGGATATATTGTATGCAGAATATATTTTGGACATGAATATCATTTGGATTTTTTCATGAATTATTTATTTTTTCAGGAGGCATTTTGTTGGGAGATGAAACATCAATGGGAAGTTCAGAAGTTCAGTTTGTTGTATTCTGTCAGTTCCATCTCAAGTTGGGATATTTTGTTGGTGAATAAGGAAAACTCCAGGACATCTACAGCAGATAAAAATATAGTCAATAGAATGACTGCTGTATCTGCAAAAATAGTTACTTGGAAGTCTGTCAGAAGGAATGTGTTGTAATTATTCACCTAGAACAGCAGGCCTCAATAGGTGGAGCACAGTCCAGATTTACAAAGCAATATTAAGCTGGCTTTTAATAATTACCTGAAAACAAGTTGATCAAAGACTAAGCCTTCTCTGCAAGAAGTTTTGAATAGTGAACTCTTTTGAAAAGTCAAAACATGCGATTCTCACTTCCACTTCAGGTCCTTTTCATTGCTGAACATGGGTGCTTGTCATTCCTTTTATTCCTGATCAGTATCATAGCTGCATAAATAATAGTGATCAAAAATGACACTCAACAGGTCTAATGCAGTGGCATAGCTAAGGAGTCAGAACCCCTCCAAACAATTCCTCAAGCCCCTCATTGTCATGACTAAATCCTAATTGTGTCAACATCAGTAGGCAATGTCATCTACTCAATTGTTGCCTACTCTGTCCAAAAGCAGAATTTTTATTTTCAATCAAACCTTCTAAATACAATAGAATGACATTTTGGAGAAAAAAAACCACGTTGCCAAATGCTTAGGAAAGGGTAAAGCAACAGCAACTGAAGCACCCTTGTCCCTATCCTTTGTTATTAGCTGGAATACTTACCACTGCTTCCATTTCCCATCCCATTTTGCTGAACTATTAAGCTATTGCGCCAAGCTGTATGCTCAAATAAATAAACCAATGCAGATGAATTAGACTGACCACATTCATATCAAAACCAGCCCCACCATTCAATTTAGCCTCTCTGATATCAAACTCTGACTATGCTACAAGACTGATGGACAACTCTCCTACCAGGCAATGACATTTTGTGTGACTTATACCCCATCTTTTTCCCTGCTCTCTATCAGAAACACTGACACCTGCATTAGAAAGAATGGGCAAGTCAGTGGTTTGACCACCATGTGTAATTAATGAAAAACACTGACCCTAGAAGAAATGAGACTACTGGAGGCTTTAATTGCTCAATCTGGATGCAGCTGAATGAAGTCCAAAAGCTGTGGCAGACAGGATGTCACTTTTCTTTTTTCCTTTTCTAAAATATCCTAGTTTTTAATGTGCAATCATCTATAACAATGATGAAGACTGGCTGAGGCAAATTTGCCCTTGAGGCCTGCATTCTTCTCACTTGAAACACCCTTCTAATCCTCAAAAGAGGAGTGGAAAACAGACCTCATTGAGGAGTCATCTCAGATTCTCACTGGTTAGCAGCAGTACTCATTTGCTACTTGTGCTTCATACACAAAGTGTTCAGTTGCCAAAGTGTTTCATTTCTACACAGCTGTTGAAGGTGTCCAGAGTATACAGTAAGGATGAGAGTAGTGGTAGTGGTGCATGAGTAAGGTGAGGGGGCAGGTGATGGCTGGTCATCTTGTTGTTGCATTAGCACACCCAGGAGAAGTACTATTATATTAAATATAGCCCTTTGTTTCAAATAAACATTATAAACACCATGCAACAGTTCCACACTCATGTTTTTCCAAGTAACCTAATGAATCCAATCAAGGTAAGAATGTGGGTATGAGCATTTCATAATGGACTCAATGGAAGTTTTCCTGTTAGTACCTTTTTAGCTTATTCCTCTCTATAATTTCAATCAATAAATCACAGTGTTACAAGTCCCACTCAAATGTGTAATAAAAAATCCTCAAATTAAAAAAGCAACAACTATTGGAACCAAACTTTTTGGATTGAGGATCAAACATGTAACTAGAAGTGCATCCATGAAATAATATAATCCAAATGAAAATCAGACACTTGGCAATCCGAAGTGATAGATCAACCAGATAACAGGATGGAAATAACTACATTTGAGTCATTCAGTAACTTCTTCCACTTTGATGAAGGTCTAATAAAGTAACAAGTCAATCTGGCCAAAGTTTTCTTCAAAGAACTCAAAGGGGCAGACTCATCAAGATGTTAGCTTCCTGTGCAGGAGGGAGGATACTTCCCAGGTGTTGCACATAGATAGCTTCCCTCTCCACAGCCTTAACATCATGCTAAAGAGCATTCATTATTGAATCTAAACATTTACTTCTTGTAATTTGTGTGCATCCCAGCTGTATCTCTGACAGCTTTAAGATGAGTGGGGTAAGATGAAAGAGATGCTTAAAGAGTTCAGTGTTATCTTCCATGTCCTTCAGCACTCTCATGATGCTGCTTTGCAAGACTTCCTGGGAGAATCCATACTGCTTGCCCTCCACATACATGAGAGCCTCAACTTAATTTTTCAGGATAACCCCAATGTTCTCAGCCACATTCAGATTAGGAGAATTTCCAGGCCATTTCACTTATAGAAAGCAATCAATCCCTGAGTCTTTCAGCATTTGCTGTGCGGTCAAAGCTTTGAAAAATATGGCTTCATCTAGTAGAAACTGAATCTAGTAGAAATTTTTCTAAACCCATGAACAGGTAGCAAATTCAACTCAGGCATCACAAGCTTCTTGAAATGTAATGGCATGGATGCAATCAATGAATTTAAGTTCTTCACCATCATATGGTATCAGAAACAACAAAATAGGATGGAATAGAATCAAAATTGAACAAGGATTCTAAATATATTTTCAAGTTTTTTCTAGCTCCTATAGTTTAGGCTGTGGAGGGGGGGCTATTTATGTGCAACTCCTGGAAATCTCTCACTTTCCCTTTCCCTGCTCATTCACACAAGTATGTTGGCAGATAGAGAGCAAGAAGAGAGAAAGACTTTTGGCAAAATGAATGTCATGATATGGACTGCCAATAAACCTAATTATGCATCTCTGATGCACCACAAACTTTTACTTGACATAGCAAGCCTTTCTTAACTATGGGAGGCAGTGAGACTGGAATTATGAAAATGAGAAAAACAAAATAAAGAATTCCTTTGAATGAATAGAGCTTTGAACATTTCAAAAGACTAGGCCTACTTAATGTGCAAAAATGAACAAACCTGTTGCCATGGTCAATGAATACAATCACATTCTGGAGTAACTCTTCCCATTCATCCTGAGGCACAGTATCCTTCAGAGTCACTATGTTCTTTCTCATCCCAAGCAACCGAATCAACATATCTCTGAGTTTTTCAAATTCATCTCTCTTCTCCTAGGTAATGATGCAAGAAAATCTGTAAGAGTAATACTATGACACTTAAATACAATAATAGGTATTCTTACAGTTATCAGAAACAATTTCTTCCATATGTAATTCCATTCCTCCAAGACAGAATCCACCTCCTGAATCAGCTCCTCTTCCTCCATGCTTGATTGAGGAATCACAAATCAGCACATGTAAATTAATGACAGATGTAATGGCCAAGATGCAAACCAGCCTCATCCACATGAAAATTTCACATATGACCATATATGAAACAATATTTGATGCAACTTGTACAACATATCACATGTATAGCAACCTATGTGATACCATACAAGGGTTATTTCAGAAGTCATTGGAACTAATTTTTATTGCACCAATTACATTTTACATTTACACTTACATAAGTGCAACCTTGAAATTAATCTCCCAAGAGTTGCAAGACAGTTTCTCCAATATGGTATCCATATTATGCTATCAAGACTTGCAGATCAATTGATGCCTCCCACCACTATATTCACTTATATGCCCATGAGATGATTGAGTACCCAGAAATGATGGTCATGGAGGAGTTCTTTCAACTGTAGAATCAAGTCAGTCATAAAGGATCAAATCACAGTATTGGGGATGTTCAGTAATCTTTCAGTCCCATTCTGCAAGAGGAATAACTACAGAACTAGTAACATAGGATGTCATATTTTCAAAGAGTGAGAGCACCCCATGCAAGGACTCATGGATGATGCTGTCAGATGATCTAACACTGCATTTGACAGGAATTCCCAGTACTACACTGCAGTGTCATGGAATTCCTGTCCAAGAAATTGTGTCCAACTGCCAGACAGCCATAACTCCAGCCGCTGGGCAAGATCACACGCCATGAAAATACAACAATTGCATTTCACAAGTTTTGTGAATACACTTCTTCCTGGAAGGGGTTGAGCAGTTATTATTGAACATCCATCATACTTACCTGATCTGGACCCTTTGGATTTTGACCAGATTCCAAGCTCAGAGAACATTGTCCTGTGATTTTCTGCACTCAACAGCCACACCATAGCAGAGAACAGGGTGAAGGCAGACATCAAAGTACAGTAGCAACTGCACTATACCATCAGCAATTGTTAGTGCAGTTGCCACTCTAGAGGAACTTAGCCATGTATGTAACTTCTGGGGTCTAACTTGAGGGTTGCTTATGGATGAGTATCCATATACTGGTGCAATGAAAATCACAAAATACTTCTGATTTACCTTCATGATTACAGAGGAATCTATCCTTAGCAAAATTGCTGATAATACGCTCCTTCATGACAGTCCTGAAGGCATAATATGATTGCACATCCATAAGTGTTGATGTACAGAGTAACTGATGCAGCAAAAATTTATAGCACTGACTTCCAAAAAGACCCCCTCTTACATGACAATCTTATACCATGTTCATCACTATGCCAATAACTTGCCCGTGGATACTCACTGTATTCCACATGTGATGTTATTAGCCAGTTATACTTGAAATCATATACTTAGATACTTAAATATACAATACGATATACAATTGGTCATATTTGATTACATATATGGTGAAATAAAAAACCAAATGGATTGTGGGATGTATATATATACTGTATATACATATATGATGGAGTAAAAGAAGTTATTTGGTGCTAAAATTGTGTGAAACTACCCAAACAAACTATGTTCCATGGTTCTGGGTACAAAGGTAGGGCATTTTCTGTTGCCCTTGGGTAGTTTCGGACAATTTCAGCACCAAATACCTTCTTTTACTCTATTTGTGCACCTTGTTTGGGGGCAGTTTACTGCCCAGCCAGATAATTGCCTATTTAGCCAATATCTTTCTTTGATATTAGGTTCATTAATATACATATATGATCATACAGAATTATACTGCCTGCCATGCATGAAGCTTCCACATTGGCACATTCCTTACATTAGTATATAATGAAGTTCCAGTACCTTTTTGTATGTCTAAACACAACAAATGATTGAGGAAGGAGACCCACTTCTTGATCCTGTCCCAAGACATGACCATACAGCAAACCTTCAGAAAGAATTATTAGCATTTCCACAGTAAAAGAATACATTGGAATAACCACTACATGCAATCCAACAGAAATACACTTCAAGCCATTCATAGCATCATAGTAATAGTAACTGATCAAAGTACATGACTATGAATCTTTGAGGCCCATAAAATTCTAACAATGCTGTCTCAATATTATAAATCTATCTCATGAAAGCTTCTGGACTGTAAAAGTATTTTCTACCTATTCCAGAAGAACCCATTCAATCAATTCAATAGCATTTCTTAACAATTCAGGTGGACCTAATTTTTTCATTTAGCTAGATATCAGGCAACATGTGATATTTACTCAAGATTACCCCTTGCTTCCCATAAATATTGCTTTCCTCATGAACTGACTAAGTCAAAACAGCATATTGGCAATTTCTCCTTAAACCACCTAGGCTCACATCAGTAAACAAGGAAAGGAAATTTCAATATAGCTCACCTCCTGGAATGCTCTTATGAATGCAGACTTTATCTCCAAGGCAAGCTGGTATATAGGCAGATAATTTCTCCTCATCTCTTGGATTTAAAGTCCAAATCACTGTAATTAAAAAATTTTTTCAGTTGAAAAACTGAAATCTGCCAAGCAGCATGTTTTACAAATCTAAAAAGTAAATTTAACTGCAGCTTTCTTGGAAAACAATGCTGAGAATAAGATAATTCAAGACCTACATGGGAATGCCTGAGTAAAAAAGATTCCACTCTCTTGACTTTTACACAATATAGAGAAGGTAACCAAAGGGAATAATTCCAGGTGTTTTGTTCATATAAGCAAGTTATGCATTTTTCCTTTTAGTTACTGAAGTTGGGATCAAGTCTGAGAAGTTTACTCAAACCCTAAGAATTGGAAATGTCTTAATCTCAAGTGCACTCTCAAATTGAGAATTACTTGACCTAAGCATGAAGAGACATGGCAAGATAGAGACAAAAAATAAAACTAAAGAAAACTGAAACAGAATACTAGCAGATATTTAAGTTAATGCAGGAACCTACTTAATCATTTGCCAGGAAGATCAAAGTTTAAATCTCCAACCTCCTTCTGGAGGCATCAGTGGAGGAGGCATTGGCATCTCCTGGACATCAAAATACACCAATGCCAGAGAAAGGGTTAAGTAGGTCTTCCATTCTTCAAAAACTACATTCCTTGACCAGGGGAAATCCATAAAATCAAATAAGTCTAGTGCAGGTAAAAATAATCAGGAAGGATTTCATTCATATTAGTAGTAGTTCTTCTGTTTTCTCTGGAAAAATTATAAAATCTACAGAGTGGCACCAATATACTTCATTACTGCCTGTTAAGAATATCATACAAGTCTCTAGAGTCACTTGTATGTTAATTGTATCATTTATGCTATTTTCATGCCATTTTTATTATTTTGAATAAAATCTCCCTCATCTTGCACAAACCACTGATGTAAAACTCTTCAGTCCAACATCTGACACATTATTTCAACCTATCATATGCACATATATCTGCTTATTTCACGACATCACATCCCAATGACACCTGACTACATGTTGCATGCAATTCTACATAACATAAATTTTGTGTGCAAATTAGGGATGGGGTGGTCAATTTACTGGTCAATTGACCACCTTTTAATTGACCATTATTGACTGTTAATTTTTTGAATTCAGTGAATTAAGATATTTTTTATAGAACTCATAACTGTGGTCATTTATCCCCCAGCACTAAAACCAAAGAGCCAGTTCAATTTTTAAGATTTGTTCATGCAGCCTGCCAAACACCTAGACTGTGGCACCTGTTGTGTAGGAAAACATTTTAGCAAATGCTCAAACTACCATGACCTTTCACCTGAGTGATGCAGAGTGTGTGTGCAGGCATAGCTTGCTGTTTGAAGTTTTATAGCCTCAAGGACTTTCAAAGTTAAGGTTCAAGATCTAAGTAACAGCTTTAGAACTTTAGTTTCGTGCAAGGTCAATTATGGTCCTGGCTAATAGTCTGCATCAGAGCATCAAATTATTCCCAAAGTCTGTGATCATGGAACAAGTACTTGGGTTATGCCTATGTCTATGCCTAAAAAAAAATTAATCTAGCTATGAAACATGATTCATTACTGTTTACCCTATAGATTGCATGAGTTGGAACATTAAATTTATCTTAGCAATGAGATGTTGACTGGTCAACATGGTCATATAGTCANTTAAATTTATCTTAGCAATGAGATGTTGACTGGTCAACATGGTCATATAGTCATAAGGCCTAACCTCTTGTTGGGCTCATAACCATTATTTTCTGCAAATGGTCTAAAATGACCATGTCGACCAGTCAACTTCCCATCCCTAGTCTATCACTTGTGAGTCATGACATGTATAATGGTGAAAAAACTACAAAGAAAAAATATATAAATAAATAAAAGTTGGTCATATTTACCAAAATTGATCATAGTTGACCATATTGACTGGTCAATTGACCAGTCAATTGACATGCTTTTAATTGACTGGTCAATAACCCATCCCTAAGTTGACTTGCCAATTACAGGATGACTTCACCTTAATCCTTTCTACATTCTCAATTTTGGCCCACCTGTTTCTTCCCCCTATTTCCTTTTTCAGCATCACATATCTTGCCACATCTCTCCTTAACTTCACTCACCAATGTTTATACAGGAAAACTACCATTCATCTGATGCATATATAGGTGAAAATACATACCTCAATCAAGCTGAATCTGCATGGTGCATTTGAAACAAATCTTCCCTTTGTGCTGCACAGAGGCCTACTTTTGTTATGGACCCTGTCAATATCATCCTTTCCTTATATCATTATCTTTATTGTCATGAAGAAAATATGGACTGTATCCATTCGCATATGAGATTTTTTAAAGTTAAATAGAACTAACCTTTTCATCAGAGCAGTATTCAGCTAGCTCCTTCAGGACATGAGTGCGGGGAGCGCTGCTGATGTCCACATAATGGAGGAATGCCGTGCGATACGAACAGGGACACGGGAATGGATGTTTCTTGTGAGAATCGTCTAAGGTATCAAAAAATCCATTATTGATACCATAGAACTATAGACAGCTTTCACAATGAGTTCACACAACCCCAAAAGGGCTACTGGTGTTTTCAGATTGCAGGATATCTACCAAATGCCAGTTCATGTCATGCATATGACTAGAGGAAATTATAATTCCACTAATGGTAAGTTTATAGAAAATAATTGTTTATGCTTAAAGTTTGTGTGAACTCATTGTGAAAGCACTGTAGATCTGCACAAGCCTACCTTCACAAAGATCATTAATTCTCAAAATGAGAAAGAAGAAACAAGATGGAAGCTTACATACCATCCACATTGACAAGGCTGATGACAATATCCAGGTCAGTGCCTGTGAGTTGAGCAAGTCGTTCGACCAGCATATTGTTATTAGTTGGGAACACTGCTACATGATCACCTGCATCAGCACAAAAAGAAAAATGCCATGAATGGGCATACAAGACAGCTCTAACATGAGAGAAAGGTAAAAAAGAGTATTGATATGGAGATGATAATTTTACATGGATGACTCACCAGCTTCATAACGGATACGGGAACCCTCTACATTTAGCTCAATGTGCATGCAACTCCTTCCACCTCCTTTATGTAACTCCCGAAGCTCCACCAGTGGAGCCATGTAAGGATTCTTGGCATCAAAGGGTCTGGACATGAATTGCAATTAATTTTTAATGAATTACCACATTGCATTCCATTTATGTTTATATCCTGTAAGGCCAAAGAAACAACTCACGGCCTCTGTGTTGTAAAGGAATGTAACCTAGCTGGTTCACCAACAAACACTCGATCAGAAGGAATTTCCTGATGAATGGACAGTCTGAACTGCCGCACATTGAGTTCCTCAGCACTGGCCTCAAGACCAAAATGTTCACAAACTGCTTGCCAGAACTTCTCCTTCCATGTGATGAAGTCTTCTTCCATGCTGTTAGCATGATGATGATGGAAATTTTTAGTGAGGTATAATTTATTCATCATGGGCCTATCAATTTCATCAAACATCAATCACTCTTAAGGAAAAAAAAAACTCACTTTCCATCATCATCCCCAAGTCCCAATTCAAACACTTGGATTGCTCCTAACTCTGACAACTTCTTGTCCACAAACTTTCCCATTGCATTGTAGTGCTCATAGGTTTTGTTCCCAAGACCAAAGACCTGAAGGATAAGAAGTGTCAACTACTGAGTGAATTTCAAACAAGGTTGGACTTGAATAATATCTCACAGCATAATTGAGGCCATTGAGGTCTGATCCTCCATTCTGCAACCAGTCATAGAATTCCTGTGCATTGTCAGTGGGATCCCCTTCCCCATAAGTTGCCATGCAGAAGACAGACAGGTTGTTTTCAATTGTTCCCACTTCACCCAGGTCTTCCTATCATATAATGGGCTTCTCATTAGATCACTTCATAGGTGCATCTACAGGTATGACAAGGAGGAATATCCTCACCATCTCACATTCCTCAGGATCAGCCACCATAGCCTTCATGCCATAACGTTTGGCATCCTTCATCAGGCGATTTGCAAATTCTTCAGCTGTTCCAGTTTGAGATCCATAGAAAACTACCATTGATCGTCCAGAGTTCTTCATCTTGGAAACGAAGTTCCGATCATTCACTCGAGCTGGGACACTTGTAGGCCTAAATATATATATATATATATGAGAAATTATATCAGCTTATACCTGCACATAATGCTCCACTGGCCTCTGCCAGGGTCTACCTTAGCTCAAATGGCAACTATGAGTGGACATACGCAATAGAGAATGACTTTGTGGGAGATTCAGCAGGCTTTCTGTTGCGAAAGAAGAGCCAATAGATACCAAGAATAGCAATGATGACCAAGAGGGCAATATCTCCCCAGCCAAGAAATGCCTCAACTGCTTCTCCTGTCTCATCAGTTGGTACATTGTCTTTTCCTTGCTCCATGACTTCAAAATCATCAACCTGGGCTAGGTCTGAAAGTTTGGATAATTCAATCAGCAATGTTACCCAAGGAAATTTGTTTCAAATAGGTCTACTGTAGGACTAGGTCATTTGAAAAGTTGCCCTCTAATTTCAAGGGGGTGAGCAAGACTGATCATGATATCCATATGAAGATGTGAATTGAGATATGTGTGTACACTAGGAGCAGTAACTGGAAAGGGATCTCTGCTCTAATACTGACAACATTCCAGCAATTTTATACAGTGTTTCACAAAAACATTTACCATTTCAGTTGGGCATGAATCCTTCAATATAATGAATATTCACTTCAAACAAAAACTAAATGAGAAGAACTCCTAAATGTTCATTTTTTTTTTTTTACAAATAATCTACCATGGCTGTGCAGTTTACAGATGAACAGCAAATTTACATTGTTGAATGCTTTTTGGAAACTAAATCATCAAAAGCTACCCAATGTTCATTTCAGAGAAGGTTTTCAGCAGAAAACCACCATCAAAACCCACTATCACCAAATTAGTGGAGAAATTTCACAACATTGGGACAATAAAGAGCCAAAATCCTGAAAATAGTGAGAAAGTGAACAGCTAGAACAGACATTGCTGTTGAAGATGTGAGAAACACAATAATGAGGAGTCCAAAGAAATCAATTCATCATCTTTCTGCAGAAAGACTTCAACATCAGGGTGGAGAATTCTGAAAAACAACCTGAAATTATTCCCATATGAACTCCACTTCAAACAGATGTTGAGTGATAGAGATAATCGGTGTTTTTTCCTGGAAACCCTCTATGAAATGAACATTGGGTAGCTTTTGATGATTTGGTTTCCAAAAAGCGTTCAACAATGTAAATTTGCTGTTCATCCATATACTGCACAGCCATAGTAATTATCTGTAAGAAAAAGAAATTTTAGGAGTTCTATCATTTAGTGTTTGTTTGAAGTGAATATTCATAATATTAAAAGATTCACAGCCAACTGAAATGGTAAACGTTTTTGTGAAACACCCTTTATTATAAACATGCTAGTAATGCTCCATGGCATTTTAGGACTTGGGAGCATGGAGGTCAGATACAAAGTGGCTCCTTACAGCTGAAAATTTCTTGTAGTGGCAAAAACTATGAAACGAGGATAGGGTGATCACTTAAATGCAAAAGAAGATTTTGTTCATGCAAATCATGATCTATCGTGTCAGGTCTATCACCAGCCACTGGAATGACCTTTCTGGCAGATAGCAAAGCTAAATGAATTGGATCAAGATGGAGAGAATGAGAATCCTACTTTCTAAGTTTAGGCAATGACCAGAATTACAAAGGGAGTTATACTCTTGATTCCTCTAACTAAAAAAATTGCTGCTCCTCTTAATAGTTTGCACTCAATGTCTTAGTGAGGCAGTAAAAAAAGAATATGCACTTGTCACCAATTGACAAGTACAAAAAATTAGTTAATGTCTGTTGTAACTATGAACACCTGAGAACTGTATAACAGAGTTTAACTATAAAATAGAAGAGGGATAAATTTTTCAAAGCAGGTCTGACATGGACTGGAATAGGGGAATGGGTGACATTAAACTGGGTTCAACAATGGAGTGCATGGAGTGCAAAAGGTGAAAATAAGGATAAGTCAATTGCTTTTCCAATCAAAATGAACATATTTCCACAACACGAAAGCCCAAGTGGCTTGATTCCTTCATTATTTGACTCTTTTGGCTACAAGAGTGACTTGTGCAACCAGAACTAATCTTACCTAATCAATAGACTACAAAATAGGTTTTCTCTTTCATTTTTCAGTAGTGGATTCAGAGAAAAAAATCAGCAATGAAAACAAAAACACAAGGATGGCAGTCAGATACAATCATGGATTACTTCAGCCCAGAACGTGGGGCTTTCCTTCTTGGGTCATCATACCTCACTAAGGGATAGCACATAGATCTTCCTCTATTAAAAAAAAAAGGAAATGGATAGATAACTTCCCTCCTCAAACCATCATGAACAAATTTGCTTAGCTATAAGCTATTTACATATCAGTTTATCAGGATAAGTCTAAATGTTAAATCATAACTGGTTAGATAAATGTACACCAATTTTTTGTCTAATTTCTCCCTCTGTAACAATCCTAATCTCTCTACAACTTTTCCAGAAGTTACCCAAGTGACACTTCTCACAACTCAGACCTTGGTGCAGAGGTTACTACAGTTTATTTTTATGCTGTGGATGGGATTTAATCTCACATCTTCTTGCTTCTGTTTAATATGCATTATGTAGGCCATAAGCTTACCTAATCAGTTCAACTATGTCTAGAATAGGGGTGGGCAATTATTTTGGCTAAAGGGCCACTTCATGAGTTTTGATGAGCTTCGAGGGCCGCAAGCGTACGTAAAGAGGCAATTGCATAAAAATAGCTCAATGTAAAGTCTTACATTTTTATATATGTAAAATGAAGAATATAATTGACATTTATTGAAAACTTGGCAAAAGAAAAACAAATTATTGAGCAGACATTTATTTATTTATTCACATATTGATGAGAATGTGAGAAATTCACTCAATGGGAAGAATGAAGGCGCTGATGTGCATTAACCAGGGAATTGAAATCAGGCATCATCTCAGTTGTTGCAATGCGAAGCACTGCTGATAGGTGGTCATCGGTCATCGCAGATCTATGTTTTGATTTATTGAATTTCATCACAGAAAATGTCTGCTCGCATATGTATGTTGATCCAAATAGCACGAGCATCTTCCGGGCATGAGCTTTAACTCTTGGAAAGGTCTGTTCATTGAGGGAGTCATAAAAATTAGGAAGCGGCACTGATTTGAATTGCTCTGCAAGCAGTGCATCGCATTGCAGGTCGATTAGCTCGAGTTGGAGGTCAAATGGGGCTTTGTCAACATCAAAGGAGAAAGGTGAGGAGACGAAAGACAGGTCATTTTCGATCATTTTGAAGTCCTCGAATCGGCGAGAAAATTCAGCATGCAAGTCGAGCAGGGACGACGTGTACTTTTTCAGGTTTTGATCACAAACAGTAATCTGCTGCAAAGTGGGAAAGTGGGGGAACTGTTTCATTCCTATCTGACGGGAGAAAAGGAGTAATTTCGTCATAAATGACTTGACACAGGAATACAAATCATGAGCAAAAAGCCCCTTCCCTTGCAGTTTTGAATTCAGTTCATTCATGTGCCCCATGATATCAACGGCAAATGCAAAATCAGAGAGCCAATCCACATCATTCAGCTGTGGGAAATCCGAATCTTTTCCTTTCATTTCCAAAAACAAAGCAATCTCTGCTCTCAATTCCCACACTCTTTTCAAAACTATTCCCAAACTAAGCCATCTTACATTGCTGTGAAAGAGGACATCCATGTGCTCGGATTCAAATTCCTCGAGCAGAGGTAAAAATTGCCTGTGGTTTAATCCTCTCGCTCGAATGTAGTTGACCACATTCGTAACTGTGTCCACAACATTGCTTAGTTTTAGAACACTCTTACAGAGGACCTCTTGGTGTATAATGCAGTGAAGAAAAATAATATTATGTTCTGGATTTGTTTCCTTGACTTGATCTTGAATTCTTTTCAACAACCCAACATTTTTTCCTGTCAGATTTGGGCTTCCATCGGTGGTCACACTCGCCAATTTTTTCCATTCCACTCTTAAGTTCGAGATGCACCGATTTACTGCCTCCAAAAGGTCTTCTCCAGTTGTCGTATCTTTCATTGACTGCATTGATGCTAACTCTTCAGTGAGCTCGAAATTTTCGGTGATCCCCCGAATAAAAATCATCAACTGGGCCGTGTCTTTGACATCACAACTCTCATCGAGTGCCAGTGCGAAATATGAGAAATTGCTTACTTTGCTTTTCAACTGCAGGTGCAGGTTCTCGGAGATATCCTCGACACGTCTCACAATAGTACGCCTTGACAAGCTGATGCTCTCGAACTGCTTTTTCTTGTCTGGGCACAGAATCGTGGCGGAGTCAACCATACATTCCTTTATAAATTCTCCTTCGGAGAATGGCTTGCTGTTCTTTGCGATTTTGTGTGCAATCACGTAGCTCACTCTCGTAATCCCATCTTGGGACGCCGATTGTTTTGTGAAAATGCTTTGTTCTTTTTGCATTCGAGCAACCATCTCATCAGCTTTCTTTGCCCTTTCTTCAGCGGAAAAGTTCGTATATTTGCTTGCATGTTTGCTCGCAAAATGGCGATTCAAATTGTATTCTTTGAACACTGCCACACTTTCGTTGCAAATTAAGCACACAGCTTTCCCACCCACGTCGGTAAAAAAATATTTAGAAGTCCATTCTTTGTTGAATATTCGACATTCAGTGTCCACTTTCCTCTTCTTTGATGAACTCATTTCCGAATTCACACACACTATTCGCGGGTGATTTAAATACCACAATTCGCAAATTGTTGCACAAAAAATGCGAGTCGGTTTGCAGTGTAAGTCTTCAGTCCTGTTCTCACGTGTCGCTGTCAAATTGCTTCACTTATTACCATCCCAGTCTCACCCTCTCAGTCTCCCCCTCTACGCTAAACCATGACTTGCGTCAGGTCACAGAGGTCACATCAGATGCGAGCCGAAGAGTGGCCTTGCTGCTATGCCAAACCCCGCACAAATACCCGAGAGGGACGCTTTTTTTTTCCTCCTATCTGCTGTATCTGCCCTATTTTCTTAAAGCCTGTCACAGCTTGGCAGGAGACTCGACAGAGCCGTAAAAAGGGTCACCAGGTCGGACTTTTTTCTGAGAAGTCGCATGCTGAGTGATCTGTATCTTGGGATGATCCACCCCCTCCCTAGCTTTAAGAAAATCGCCACTGAATCCGTCCTCAGGCTGTGGGTGTGGATGACATTTAGAGGAGAGGAAAGGAAGGGGAAGAGGACCTAATTATGACAAACGAGCTAGCTCAGCAGCTGTGCGGATTAAAACTGGCCATTTCTGGAACTAAAAGAACAAAAATGTTTCCTTTTGCTAGACATAATGGCGGGCCGGATACGGCCCGCGGGCCGTATTTTGCCCACCCCTGG